ACCCTGCCCCAGAGCTCTGAGCATGCCGAGACCCCCAGGGAGCTGCTGGTGGTCCGGCTTCATGCTGCCTTTTTCCTTCCTGCCATGCCAGAACTGCTTGTGGGTATAATCCTGACCCCAGACCCGGGTCTTGAGCAGCATTTGGTGCTCCTGAGCTGGGGGATATGTGCAACCTGAGCATCCAACCCGCACCCATCCTTCCCCCCCCACCCCAAACTGTGGGAGGAGCACCCCTGGGAGCAATGGGCGCATCCTGGAACCTCTGCAGCACCATCACTCCCCTGGGGCAGCTCGTGATTAAATCCCCCCACATCACCGTCAGCCCTTCCTCCGTTTATATTAGTGAATTAGGGATTTTGTTTTCATTTCTGGCCTCTGTTTACATTCCTTGTATCCTAGCTTAATTCTTCCAAAACTGCAGAAGCAATAGCATCCAATACATGACACCCTCCAAAAGGTCAGGCACAAAGAAGCATCTGCCGCAGGGAAAGGCTGAAACTTGGAAAAAATGACCACACGTGGGAAAACCTGCAGTGAACTGCTGGGATGACTTTAGAATGTAGGGGAGGAAGATCAGGCAGTTGGTGAGACTGTAGCACAAGCTCACGTAGGGTTTGGAGGTGTTGGGGCGAGAGCTCGAGCTGGGGCTTGGATGCATGGATAGAAATTAAATTTAATTGCTTGTAGGTTTTTCTATTTAAGTGGTGAGTGAAGGCTTGCCTGGCTCAGCCATGCAGCTTGGGGTCATCCTCATGCAAGTTGTAAGGGCATGGTCAGTGCAGTATTCTCCTTATCCAGATTTTATAAGAAGCCCATCCAAGGATGTTAATTTGAGGAAGACACGAGATCTTCCCTTCGGGAACGGCTTGTGTAATTCCCTGACCAGATCTGCAGCCAGATGAACTTGCTGCCTGGGTTGAAACTGTTCCTGCCTGTTCTCTCTTTGCTTTTTACCGACTCGTGTTGACATTTGCAGAAAATAGTGATGGTTGGCAAGGTAAAATCCTTGTCCAGGGCTCAGGTGCAGAGTTCAGCTTCTGGGTTTTGCTTCTGCTGAAGGGATGGGGTGGTTTAAGCCCCGGGGTGGTTTAATCCCAGGGTGTTTGGCCACAGAGCATGGATGATCTCCAATGTGCATAAGTCTGTCCACACCTTGACACTTTTCTTGGGAACTGTCAAGCTTGCAGAGAAAATATGAGGGTTTTGGGTCACAAACCTCTGACATCTGAGTCAGGAGCAGAAAATTTTCTCAGGAGCCAGGCTTTTTGGGGGTCAGAAGCTGAGGGCTGCCTTTCTACCCTGAAAGCTGTTGCTTTGCTGTCTTCAGGAGAAAACTATTTTGTTTCTCACTTTCTCCACCAATTTATTCCTGGCTGCCAGTGGGCCCTGAGGGCTCGATGCTGCTCCCATCAGGTTGGTTTTGCAGCACGGTGGGATGCCCTATTAACTGGTGAGGACTGGTCCTGCAAGCACCTGCAAAAGCCCAGCATCCTGGCTCTTAGCACCCCCCTTACCCCTACATCCCCCAGCAAAACCATCCCGAGGGCTTGCTGAGAGCCAGGCAAAGCTCGCAGCAAATCTTTTCCTACCATCCTTCCAAGCTCCTGCACGAGGACCGGCTGTTTGTTTGCGGCTGTGCTGATCTCTCTTGGAGATGGTTGGTGTGTGTCGGCCCCGAGAGGAAGCAGCGCTGCCGGCCGGTCCTCATCCCCCCGCGATGCTCATAGGCAAAACCGCGCCCCTTGCTGCTGCACTCATGGCAGTCAGCAGCTGAGACATGGTGGGGGGAAAAAAAAAGAATTAAAAATAATTTTAAAAAAAATCTTTCAGCTGCTTGAGTTTGTGTTTTGCCCCGTGGCAGCACGTGCGGGTCTCCCTGGCTGCCCCCAGCTCCTTACCGCTGCAGGCAGAGATTATTTTTTTGGAAAGTGCTGCCTGGGCTGGATGAAACAGCACTGAAATCAGAGCAGGATCCAAAAATGAAGTGGGAAGGCAGCTCTGAATATGTGCCCAGCTTTTTTTCTTTTTACAGGATTAATATCATATGATGAATATGTGAAACTTATCTTCTGTAGGCTTTTTAGACATTAAGGAGCCCTGCTGCTGAGTTTTCTGCTGGATGTCGTGGGATGTGCCCATAACAACTTTTTGCAAGGGTTTGAAATACTATTATTTCCTTGGTTTTGGTTTTCCCATTCATCACTTCCACCGACAGCTGTTTACATTTTGGAAGTATTACATCAATATTATCACAGCACAGCTCTTCTCCTTTGAACCCTTGGCATCTCTCGCTCAGGCGAAGAGACTCGGTTGCATTAAGATGTCCGAGGGCGAGCGCCGAGGACTCGGCAGAGGAGGGATCTGCAGAGTGATGCAGCCACATCAGTGTCGGTATAGTTTAAGCCGGTTTTGCAGAAGATCAGTGGAGTAAGACCCTGCTACCTCACTATCCCAATCGGGTCCAATTTAGACTAATGAGAAACCCCCAGGGATCTGCAAGCTGCTTGCAGAGAATTGGGGAAGAGAGACGAAGCAGGAGGAGTCTGACAGACACGGCTCGTGAACCCAGAGCAGCTCCTGGGGGTTTCTCCTTTCGCTTTGCCGCACAGGATCTGCAGCCGGTGCAGAGAAACCTCTCAAGGCCGGTCCTTTGGCAGGACTGGAAAAGCGGATCCCTGTAAATCCGCTTTTCCACTGGTTTCCAGGTCAGGGAGTTCAAGGCAGGAGGCAGCTGCAGCCACTTGGTTTTCCATGGAGATTTTTAACTTCTGAAAAGTTGTGCTTGAGACCCCACTTACTCTGTTTGGGGAGTAAGGGCCAGGTCTCTCTTTCTGGGGTTATTTTCCCCATTTTTCCTCCAAAACCCTTCAAGCTGGCTGGTTCCAACAACCTGCTTCCAAACAACCTCTCTGAAAACTGAAGCGAGATGCAAATTTCAAGATCATATAGGCCTTTTGGAATTTTTTTTTTTTTTTCCCTCATTAAAAACTGGCTTGGCTTCCAACTGCATGGGAGAGTTTAGTTCCCAGTGAGGGATTTCCCCTCGCATGCCCTGTCTGTGGCCCTGGGCTGGGAGCTGGAGCAGTGAGTCTGTGACTTCTGCTCAGAGCATCCACTTCTCAGGGATCCCTCCCTCTGGGCCCCGATTACTCTGTTTTAAATCTCATCTGAGCTTCCTGCCTGAGCTTTTTAATATTTCCTTTTATTCCCTACAAAAATCCTTTTTAACTTTCACCAAACCATTTTAATCCTTTCAGTTGCTGCTGTCCCCTGAAGTTCTTCCTTTTGCTCCACAGTTATATAGGGGCAAAACAGCTGGGAAATATAGTTAAAAGCTGAAAATATCTATCAAGCAGCGTTTTGCTGGTAGAAGGAGCACTGTACAAACAAGCTAAAGAGCATCCACATCTCTGTGCTGTTTTGGATCCTACTGCTGCTTTGATCTCTGTTCCAGACATGTGTCCTGCCTGCAGACCCCAAATGTATATTTTCAGGGGGGAAGAGGGGAGAATAAAAAGAAACTGGATTTCCCAGACACTGTTTCATCCAAGAGTGTCTCGAGCAGAGCTTATCTCCCTCCTGCAGCCCCCAAACTGTCTGACAGACACTTGGTAGACAGAGACGTCGGCGTTTGGACCCATCTCAAAAGATCTTTGCTCTCTGCTGGGTGGGAGAAAACCCCATTAAGGATCTTGGCTTGCTCTTCTGCTCTGAGGGGAGGAGAGCTGGCACCATGGTGATGGCTGCAGTGGGCAGACCACTCTGGCTTTGCTTTTCTCCTGGTTGTAAGGTCGGTCTCATGGAGCTTGAACGCTGCAGGTAGCAACTGCAAGCAGAGATGCTCCCGTTGGCAAACAGGGCTTGGGCTAGCAGGCAGGTAGGGAAGGACCTCCTGCTTCACATCTACTGTATGAAAATAAACCAAAGTCTGGATTTATCTTTTCTGCTCGGGAAAAAGTAGAAGCGAGGTGGTGGCTAGTCCTACCTCCCCCGTGGAGCTGCTCCAGCTGGGCTCTGGGGTCTGGTCTGTGGGTGCTCGGGGCTGTGTCCCAGCCCCACCACGGTCAGAACTGAGCTTCTGCTGGAGCTGCCTCCCGGGCATCTCCTCCAAAGGGTTTCCCTACCCTGGTGAGGAAGAGGATGGAGGGAGAAATCCCCGGGGGATGCTGATGCACTTTGTGTGTTTTGGGCTGCTTAGCCCAGCCCAGGGGTGACAGGGCCTTAAATTACAGTGGTGGCTTTTGTTGGGGGCACTGGGGATACTGGGCCAAGAGCTGTGTGCAGCAGGACACCCCACCGTGCCTGAGGATGGCCCTGGCAGAGGGGAAGAAAGCACTCATTAGCAGTTTTCTTCCTGCTCCTTTGCTATTTGCTGCCCAGCCGGGCTCTCCTGGGTGCCCCTGCCAGCAGAGATGTGGTCATGCCTGGGGAAACTAAACGGTGTGACCAGTTGCCCCAGTGCTACGTGGTGTCCTGCGGCATCACAGCAGCCTTCTCGGTGCCGTGGGTGCTGGCCCTGCTCTCTTCTGCCCTGGGGGTGGCATCTGTACAGAGGTGACACTGGAGCAGAGGTGGCACCCAGCTGGAGGTGGCATCTGAGGAGATGTAGCACCCAAGCAGAGGTGGCACCTGAGCAGAAGTGGCATTTGAGTGGAGGTGGCATCTGAGCGGAGGTGGTACCCAGCTGGAGGTGGCATCTGAGAAGATGTAGCACCCAAGCAGAGGTGGCACCCCACAACCACCGGTGACCCCGTGCAGACCTTCCATCACCAAGCCCCCATCGGCATGAGGGGGCCCTGGGGGACCCCGGTGGGGTGCTACAGGGAGAAGACCCCAGGGTGCTGCTGTGGGGTTGAAGTTCCTGGCTGGCACAGCCCTGCTGGGAGAGCCGATCCCTAAAGGGTGCCGCGGCCCTGCGAAGGCTGTCCCCTCTGCCGTCCTCTCCTGCTGTACCTCCTACAAGTTTCGCTCGTCCCTCCCACTCCCTCCCAATGCTCGCCTTCTGTCAGGGAGCTGGGAAAGGCTGGGGATAAGGAAAGGGCTCTGCGAGCGAGGCTACCAGTCTGGCTGGCTGCCTCCCACCGATGCTCGGGGCCGGGGAGCAGGGCAGCCAGTGCTCCCATGGACCTCCCCAGCAGGATGCTCCTCGCCTGCTCCCTCTGCCTCCTGCCCGGTAAGTGCCCGCTCCTGTGCCCACCCCAACTCCCCAGGCAGTGGGGAAGCCACTGGGAATAATAACTTTTGCCTCTTTGGGAAAAGCGCTGGAGAAAGCCCAAGGTTTTAATAAGGGTGTTGGAAAAGTCTCGCCGGGAGCAGGAGGGAGGGAGCGAGGCGGGCGCCTTTGAGGCAGGCGGAGGGGAGTTGAAAGGGATGGAGACCTTTGATGGGCTCCCCAGGAATGAGCGGGCAGCACAGCGTCCTCCCGGCCCCCCCTCCTCGGCTGGGCTGCAGTTGGAGCAGGATTAGTTAGTGCTTTTTTTCTGAAACATCAGATGGCAGGGGGAAAAAAAAAAAGAGGTCCGTCCCCCCTCTTAAAAAATAAAGCCAGACCTTTTCTACCGAGACTTAACTTTTGTGACTCACAGGTGGTTTGTCCTGTTGCACACGGGGGGGCTGTGCTCAAGAAAATTGCTTGGGGTTAAATAAGTTGAGAGGTTTTAGGCAAGCGTTTGGTTTCAGGAGGCGAGCCTGCAGCTTCCCCCCATACAGCTCGGTGCGTGCGGGACGAGCCCTGCCGGGGGCTGGGGTGCGAATGGGGCGGGGGGGGGGGGGGGGGTCTGTGCTTCTTGCTGACCCCTCACTGGCACGCTCGGGCTCTCTTCTTGCAAAAGGAGACTCCCCAGCAGCGGTCATTTTTGCTGCAATTACATCTGGCATCCTCCCGCACGCAGCCCAGGCTCAGAGCAGCCAGACTGGGACCGCTCGGTGCTGCAAAAGGGGGCAAAAAAAATCGCTTTTCCCCACTACCAGCAGCACCGCTCACACCTCCCCACCAGCCTGCAGCACTTCTGCCACGCCGAACATTTCTAAACATCCTGATGGAAAAACGCGCCAGGGTGGTTTCTATTTTACTTCTTTTTTTTTTTTTTTTTTTTTTCTTTCTTCCCCCCCCCCCCCCCTCCACTTTCTAATTGCGCCGTTTCTTGATCCTTTAAAGCAAGCTGCCTTTCTTTGCTTAATAGGGAACATGTGTGTGCGTCTTGCATGGCGGCGGGCGTGGGGCTGCCTGCGTGGAGCTGCCGGGGCCGAATTCTCCGGCACAGAGATGGTGGCACAGCCCCGGCCGTGCTTACGTGGGCGACCGAGCCCGTGGGGTGAAACCCCCCCCCTTAAAGAGATGCTGTTCGTAGCTGTACGATGGTTATTGCAAAGCCTGGTTGGGGGGATGTGGCAAACCGGCGATTCCGCCTTGGGCTGAATAGAAACCCTCCTCCTGAGTGTTTCTGCCCCACGGGGGTTTCTGCGTGTGCCTGGAGTGGCCGGCGACGGCAGCGCCGCTGCGGGGAACGCGAGCCACGTGCTGATGAAAGGGTTAATGCTCCCCCCGCTCGGTGGTGGTCTCCGCACCGGGCTGCGTTGTGGCTACCGGTGGATATATTTCGCTGAGGACTAACGTTGCTGTTTTGCCATCCAGAATAAACGCAAAGTTTGCGCGATGTGCTGGACCACCCCCCCCCCCCCCCCCCCCCCCCCCAGGGCCCCGGGCTGAGCTGAGGGTGCCGGGTGGGCACGGGCATTCCTGGGAATGGTCCCTTCACCATGTGGGCAGCTCTGCCTGCCTTGGCACAACCCCTCGGGTGCTTTTCCCGAGGGAAACCCCGCTCCTGGTTCTCTCCGGTGGTCCCAGGGAACCCTCCTGCATGTCCCCGCTCTTGCATCGTCCCACGGGCTGGCAGTCCCCGGAGGCACCGTGACATCCCCGGTGATTTCTCGATGCCAAGGGAAGAGGCAGGAGATGCCAGCACTGTCCCCTTCCAGCAGGCATCCCGCGGGGCCGGGGACCCCAGCACCATGCCTCCACGCCCAGCCCATCTTGGGGACAGCCCAAGGTGTCCCCAGACTTCAGATCGGGCCAATTCCTCTCCCCTGAGGCTTTGGTGCAAGCAGGGTGCAGATCTGGGCCCGACCAAGGGGTGCTGAGCCATGGCTTGTATTAAATGCTTTCGGTGGCCACGGATCGCCCAGTTGCTGCGGCAGCTTCTGGAAAGATCCAGGGAGGATGCACTGAGATGCGATAACTTCCCTTGTGCCGGCCCATGCATCTGTTTTCCTTTGCTGGTTTGGTTTTTCAGAGAAGGTAGTTGGCTCCTTCCCTCTCTAAAGGGTCACTAAATGGTAAAACCATCGTGCTTGCTCCATGGGGCATATTTGGAATTGTCCAGGTGGGCTCCCAAGTCCAGGCTTTGGTGGTGGGTACTTAATTTTGTGTGGCTGCACTGCCCCAACAGTGAGGCTGAGTGGGATATCTCCCCACCTCCCAGTTGTCCATCCGCTGGCCAAGGTTTGGCCCAGGGAAGGTCTAAAAAACAACCCCCCCGGGGTGCATGGGGCTCTGAGAAGCCAATCCCCCGCGACGACCCCCACAACCTATCGCTTTTTTGGCGTCTCCCCGGGAAAGGGGCGGTCAGAGACCTGCTGCTATTTATCCCTGACACCGTGCGCATTATTGCTAGTGAACACGCTGCAAACGAATAATCACCACGTTCCTTAGGGCTGCGAAACGTGGCCATTAAATGGCTCCTCCCCAGCTTTTGGGGGGCCAGAAAGCTGGAGTTATGGAAGCACAAGGTACTTGTGTAGCTAACGCCCCGGGGCTGTTTGTCAGAGATTTTGTGGGTAACCAGGAATGTTACAACACACGAGCGGGCGATGACTGATCCTCTGTTCATCCGCAGTATTCCCTGGCTCTCCATCCACCGCTACAGCAGCCACCAAACCCTGGGTTGTTTCCTAATAGCTGATGACAAACGCTGGCTTTGAGATAGCGACCTGGAGAGGCGTTTGGTGCTTTCAGCATCTCATTTGGCCAAGAGTGCTTGGTAGGAATTAAAGCAAGAGCGGGGACACGTGGCCCACCCTGCTCCTTCTCGGGTCCAGCTAGTTTTTGCCCAAATATCAAGCTTAAGCATTTCCTAGTTAAGCCAAAGGTTTCAATCCTAAGAAAAGAACAAGTCATGTGCACGGCAGATGGGTTGCAGAGGAGCATCCGATGCCACCAAAGCCGACGTGGTGGTGGGGATGGGGTGACAGGAGCCGTGGCCAGTGGCATCCCCAGGGATGCTGAGGATGCGGGGCTCGCAGCGGCGATGCGGGGGTCCACGGCCCTGCCGCCCCACCGCAGAGGTCACCTCTCCTGAGTGGGCTTGAGCGATGAGAGAGGAAGCGGGAGCGAGAACAGCAAGGCGAGTTTCAAAGTGCCAGACCGAGGTGCTTGACCCCGGCACGCTCCAGCTTTTTGGCAGATGTGAGCTTTCTCCCCGCCACGTGCTCCTGGGCTCCTCCAGCGAGCAGCTCGCTCGTCCCTGCGAGAAAGCAAGAGCCTGGCGTGGCACGCGCTCTTCCCGTGTCCCGTTCACACCCTTTTCCTTGGGTCACCTGTAGTGCCCCCAAATCCTGTATGTCCTCCCGTTCTGTCCCCAGGGACCTGCAGCACCCCGGCAGTGGGCAAGCTGCCTTTGCCCTGGTGAATTCAGCTGAAAAACCCATGTGGATCCTTTGAGATGCTTCTCCCCTCTGTGTCACTGCCCCGTGTCACCTCGGCCTCTCTCCAGAAATTCTGTCCCGAGCTGTGAAAGTGCTGGACGCCAGCGAAACAGGCTGGGTTTCCACGATGCAGTCAAAAATATTGACTGAGTTTTCCTCGCGGTCACAAAAAAAAAAAAAAAAAAGAGAAGGAGGAAATTCTTCCGGCAGCTCCACTGCCCAGCTCACATCTCCTTAAGTTGCAAACGTTTGGAGCAAAGGCAGTGAGCTAAAGCCCCAAACTGCTCCCAGCAGCAGAAGCAGCCTTGACACATCAGAGCAAGTGCCACCGGGCACCTTCCCGGGGTCCCTTTGCCGGCAGAGAACCCCGCTGCCTGCCCCAAGGATGCAGGCAGGAGGCATGGGGAGAGCTATGGGGCAGGAGGATGGAGTTGGGGCCCCGAGAACATCCCCCTCCCAAAGGTTTCCCTTATAGGGAGGACTTATTTTTATTCTTTTTGGCAGGAAAGGTGGCTTTAATTCTCAGTATTGTTTCCCAAATGTGTTTTGGTTTGTTTTTTTTTTTTTTCAATATTTGACCTGACAAGAATCAAAAGTTTGGACTCGACAGAAGCTCCACTTCGGAAAGGAGGTATTTGAGGCTTCCTGCCTTGGCTGCATCACAAGCAAAACATGTGGCTTCTGGTCACTTATTTATGACAGTGATGTCATTCCTGACAAGAAAATGAGGCTCGGTTCTTTGGGTTGCTAAATCTCCTTGACAACCTCTCAAAAAGCTCCCATTAGTTTAAGCCACTTTAAATATTCTCTGACTTTTTTTCTTTTTCTTTCTTTCTGCCTAGAATGCACCCACATCTATCGGCTTTCTGAAATTCCTCCCCTCTGCCATGCAGGGCCTGAAAACTTTTTCTCCAGATCATTTTGCTTTTCCAGCCCCATCGCCTCCCCCGGTCCCCGATACCTGCTGCAAGCGGGATGCTCCGGCACGAGCCCCTCGCAGCACTTCCCCCCGCTTCGGGGACCTTTGCACTTAATGAAGCATTTCTGCTATTTATTGGGGGGTTTATGTTGCTTTTCATGACCAGCCCGGCTGCCTTTTGCAGGAGGCTCCAGCTGCACGACGGGGTCCTAAAGCAAGAGGCCGTGGGATGGGGGTCCCCAACTTCTCCCAGTGTTCCCACTCCCCGAAAATCTCTGACTGGGGCTCTGCAGTGCAAAAGCAGAGAAGCTCTGCTGAATGCAAGAGAAAGGAGGAGAAAGCCCATCACATCCTCTCTGACACTTGCTCTGCACCCAAGTGATGAAGGCGCCTCTGATTTACCCGCAATTGAACCTTGTTTGAAATGCAAAACCCCCTCCCCAAAAGACACACACACACACCCCCTCCCGCCTCTTCCAGCCAGGTCCAGAGTGCCACCGCACCTCGCTGGTGGCAGCGATGTGACACCCCCGGGTGCCCCCAGCTCCCCACGACCTGCCCCTCTCCCCTTGCCCATCACTCCTCTCGATGGCCGGTCCTGGCTTCTGTTTCTCCACTGGGTAACAGTTAACTCAGAGGAGGCTTTAATTTGTTTTGTAATGTTAAATAAGGTCAATCTACCACAAAATATGCTGGCTCTCATCCCCCCGTCTCCTTTTTTTTTTTGCCCCTGCTTTCTAGAATTTCTTTTTGTATGATTTTAAAGCTCCTTACCTCAGCTCTCCTTGGCGAGACTCTGCGGTTCTCTGCTTTTGGAGCCGACGTTGCAGATTTGTTCCTATGACTCCAAAAAATCAGGTTTACCCCTAACATTCCTACCTATAAAAACACTTTCCATCCTGAATTTTTCTGCCTGGGAAGCGGCATTCCCAGCCTTTCCTGCTGACAACCCCTTTATGCACCTATAAATACCAAACATGATCCTTTTGCTCCTTTACAGCCATCCTGAACAAGGATGCCAAGATCTTTTATTTGCACGAACCATCCAGCAGCTACTTTCTGCCCGAAGGCAAGCGAAGAGCCGGGATATCCTGATTATCAGTATCCCTCCCTGCAGCACCGTCTCTGATGCAGTCGCTCCTTGCTGGAACCTGGGCCATGCCCCTCTATGCTTAAGCAAACCTGTGGGGAAAGCAATATTTTTAAGGAAAAAATAAAACACCTCCTTGTCGAAACCATGAAGCATTTGCACCCATGGCGGGGGGTTGCAGCATGCTGCTGGCCTGAGCTAAAATGCGTGTGTCTCTGGACAAAGATGGGCTGATACCTGCTGGTTATGGGATGCAGACGGTGGGACATGGGTGGCTCCAGCATTTTGCAGCCACCAGTACTAGAGGCAGTGCAGTGCCAGAGCTCCTCAGCACAGGCAGTGCTCTTTCCCCTAGCCCAGGGGTGGTCTTTGCCCGCCCCCCCAGCCAATTTCTCCATTAAATGCACCCAGTGGTCTGTGGGCACAGTTTGGGGCAGCTTCTGCACCCATGGGTAAGAAAAGGGGCGTCTTCAGCAGCCCCAAAACACCCCAGTTCTGGGGAGAGTCACTTGATGCCTCCATCTGCACACCCTGGGTCCGGCTCCTGGCAGAGTGGGGACCTTCCAGATAAATCTCCCCAAGACTTGCTCCCTGGTCAGCAAATTGCTCTGGAAGGTTGATCCTCCTGGGCTGTGAACACCGGGACGCCGTGGCCGGGGATCCTGCTCCCGCTGTCCTGGGAGAAGAGGCTCCCTCCAGAGCAGCCCTGGGGAGAGGACTAAGCCTGAAAATTGCCCTGTCTGGGTCTGAGCAGCCATCCTCGGGGACATGCCCCCTCCAGAGCCACATCTCCCTAGCAAACACCCCAGCAGCTCCGGCTTTAGCTCGCACAGAAAAAGTGAATCCCAACTTTGGGACTGCAAACCCCTCGGGGGCAGCAGGAGGTGGCCCCTGGGGACAGCCCGGCTGGGTGATGGGCTCCAGACTGGGCACATCTGGTGTGGCCACGCATTTTGCTATGTACCCCCACCCCTTGGTCCTTGCTGGGGTGTGTGGGGACGTGGTGGTGGCCGTCTCCACCACGAGCAGCTGCTGCTCCACAGCTGGAGAAGAAAAACTTTGCAGAGCTGCATCACCCATCACGGGGGGGCGGGGAGGGGGGGCTTGAGGAGATGGCAGAGGGGAGCAGAGCGCTCTCCTCTCCCCTTCCCATGACTGGATGGGCAGCCCTGGCTTGAGCTGATTCATTTCTACAGCAGCTTAGAGGAAAAAAATACTTTTTATCGTAAACCAGAAATGCAGTTTGGCTTTGGTTACAGTGGTGGGCACTAGCTGAGCAGCCCCCAGGGGTACGTTGGGGCCTGCCGGGGTGAAGCCCCTTTGCAGGTGGGCTGGGGAAGGGGGGCTGCCCTCCGGGGCTTGCGCAGCTGTGGTCTCTAAACCCTAAATGAACCCAATTAAAGCTGCAGCCCTAGGGCTGGCTCCTCCTTAGGGGCTCAGTGCTGGAGGCAGGAGCTGGGTGGCTGCAGGTGAGGTGGGACTGGTGTGTTTTGGGCCTTCCAGCCTCCTCTCCGTCACGGCTGGCCGTGGGAACGCTGTGCCACAGACCTGCTGTGGTGGGGTAACACCACCCCTGTTTCATGGAGGACCCTCCTGGGTCATCATATACAATTTAGGAGAGCAACATGCCCAGGATGGTTGAGGTTGGAGGCACCTCTGGAGGTCATCTAGTCCAACCCCTGCTCAAGCAGGGTCACCTAGAGCAGGTTGTCCAGGGCTGTGCCTTCTTGAGGTTTGAATATCTCCACGGGTGGAGACTGCCCAGCCTCCTGGGGTGACCTGTTCAGTCTCTGACTGCAGTAAAAATGTTTTCTCCTGCCCTCGCAACACCTTGGCTGATGGGTTTCTTCTTTTCTCTCCCCAGGGTTCAGTGACACCTTCAACATTGACACCAAGAGGCCCAAAATCATAGCTGGCTCTAAGGAAGCGTATTTTGGCTACACAGTGCAGCAGCACGACATTGGGGGGAAGAAATGGTAAGTGAGCTCTGCGCCGGGCTCTGCAGAGGAGGGGATCTGAAGCAACCTGCTCAAAAAGCTGAATATCTCCTCCTGCTCCATCCCACCACTGGTTTGGGGTGGGCAGTGCTGCAGCTCCAAGGGAGACTGAGGTTTGCTCTTGGTGATGTTGGTGCCAAACCAGCCTGGGCAAATTAGAGAACGGAAACCCAATTCCTTTCGAAAAGAGGAGTTCTGTGTGGGGGTTAACAATTTGTTTTGTATTTGATGGTGTATGTGTTTGGAGGGTGTTGTGCTCTGGCTCCTGCCCGGCTGCATCTCAGTGGCAGGTGCTGTGCACGGGGCTTTGCTCCAAGCAGGTTCACAGTTCCCCAGGGCCCCTCAGCCTCCGACGCTTGCTGGAAACCCGTCTGGGTTTTGGGTCGAAGCCATTCCATTTTATATAGTTTCCACCAAAGACCCGCTGTCTGCAGAAGTGCTCAGACCTGCCTGCGTCTGTCAGGAGTGCAAGATGAGACTCAGATGGGCTTTGTTCAGGTTTTGGGTTTCGTGGCAGGTTTTGCTCCTCGCCAGAGCTGATCCCCACTGAGGGATCCTGCACAGATGTTGACAGGGACCCTTGGTGCTCTCCAGGAGCACATCTGGATGCTGCAGTGACGAGGGCAGCTCAGAAGCCCTTGAAATTCCCTACAACTCAATTACTGCAAGGGCTGAAGGATCTGCCCCATGGGTGGATCACCGCCAGGTTTAAGTCAGCAAGCAAACGTGTAATTAATGCAGATAGATACCCCTGAAATTAAAAAAAAAAAACAGACCTGTGCTTCCTGTTGAATGACTTTTGCTGTTGCTGGTGGGGATTGTGGGGCTGGACCCTGTGCTGTGTCCTCAAGCTGAGCTGCTATTTCCCTGTAAGAAGAGCAGGAGGTTTCGCTTTAGCCTTGGTCTCTCCAGCTGCCGTCAGCACGGCCTGAAACCTCCCCGCTCGCCTCTTCCCTTCTGTTTAATGGAAGGTCGGGGCTGGCCGCCCAGGCACGCTGTGCTGAGCCTTTCTGCTGGCTCCGAGCCCTGGTTTCCCGCAAGGATCGTGTGCTTTTCCCAAAGGGTTCCGTGCATCCAGTTAATGGGGTGATGCTGGTGCTGCAGCCCCCGTGCTGCGTCGGGGCTGCGGGAGCTGTCTGGGCTCTGATGCTCCCAGTTGCATCCTGGGGAGCCGTTTGCAATTAAATCCATGCTGATGTTTGCACTCTCCGGGTCACCGTTTCCTTCCGCCGTCCAGCAGAGACCTGAGTTAATATTCATAAAGCTTTGAGAGGTGGGATGAGGTTCAGGTTTCTGCTGGGAGCGTGTGCTCTGGGAAGGGAGGGGGTGGCCTGGGGTGCAGCCTGTGAAGTTGCCTCTGCCCTACTGCAAAGATGGGTCCTGAGCAGGTATTTTAGCACCCAGTACCCCCTCTGAAGTTCAGAGACTTACACCTGCGTGGCTGTGATGAGCTTTTCCAATGCTTCAGCTCAAGCCCAAGTACGGGGCTGCTCGCAGCCGGGCTGAGTGTCCCCAGAAGCATCACAGTGCCAGGGACCAGAGGATCCTCGCAGAGGGACGTCCCCATGGTCCCTGAGCAGGCTTGCACGCAGAAGTCAGGGAGATTTCTCCCAGAACTGACCCTGCCTGGCGCCGTGTCAGGGACTGGGTGGTCTTTCAGGATCCTTTGCATCCTCACTGTCCATGAACCTGTGCTATGGGACTGTTTCCCAACCAGCCAGCTTACACTTAACAAGCCAGAAACATCTGGCATGGGACACAGGCCTCCACCCTTTCTTCGCTTGAGAACGTGGATATTTACCCAAATAAACGCATTTTGGGGGGCGGTAAAGAATTTTGGGCAGCCTGACAGCACAACTTCTCATGGCCAAAGCCACCGGAGCACGGCATAAACACGGCTGTCAAGTAGTTCCCGTAAATAAAGCAAATTCCTGCAACGTCCTCTGCTCAAGACCTGGGTGGTTAACAGAGGACGTTGCTCTGCTTGGCGTGAAGTCTTCCATCCTCATCTCCCTCCGTGTGATGCTGGAGCACATCTGGGCAACGACGTGTGCTTAATTTCTAAGGGAATCTCAGCCCAGCCTGGTGCTTCCATCCCGCGCTCGCGCTCCTGGGCAGGGCCCAGGCATGTCTGCGAGACGGTGGCGTGGGGACCACACTCTCCAGGGAGGTTGATCGGATGCTTCAGAGCATGTGATCTCTTCGTTTGCACAGACCTCTGCTGTAAATGTTTTCTGTCAGGAATGGATCCAAAACCCCCAAGATTTGGTGGTATTTGTGCTGGCTCCTGCAAGAGAATCTGGCTCCAAAGAGGTGTCTGCCAGGTCAGGGCTAAGCCCAGGAAAGGCCGTTCAGAGATCGCGCTTCTCCCGAGCAGATAAGGAGCCGGAACTGAGTGTCTTCGCCATCATGTTCCTCCCTGCCTCTGCTTCTGCAAAATAGCCCTTTTCCACATCTCGTTTCACCCTTGGGCAGGGGATGCAGGGCACGGATGCGGCCGAGCCTGTCCCATCCCTCGGCCCATCTTACATTGGTCCTGGCCAAAGCGTTTCCGAGGGATCCTGTGCAATCCCTCGTGCCCCTTGGGGTTCAGATTCCCTGCCAGGCGAGGACGGCAGCAGAAGCTAAGCCTTTGGGTGCTCAGTGCCTCCACGGGCTGGCTTTGCTGCTCTGCAGAGATTTCTGCCCAAAGCGAGCTCTCTGAGGGAGAGGCTCTGCAGAAATCGGTGGAAAACACCCGTTTTCTGAATATTTTCAGCCCAATTGTAGCATTAGGTGCTTTTTTAGGCATAATCCTGGCTGCACGCTGGCAGAGGGGCTGCAATTCCCGTGCCATTTGTGGGCTCTCATGCTTTTTTTTTTCTCATGCCTTCAAGCTGCCACCATCGCTGACGCGGTGGTCAAGGGCTGGCTTCCCTGAGGACCAGCGAAGGGAGGATTTTTTTTCTCCTTTCCCAGCAGGACACTGGAGCAAAGACCAGATCCGGCTCCTTTTGGCCTTTCTCACATCTCTCCTACCAACATCGGGCAGGACACAGCTGTAGTTTTCTCTTCTGTTGGTTCCTCTGCGTAAAAAAAATGGATGTTCTCTGCACAGAATGAGTGTAGGTATATACATAAGTACAACATCTATTTGAATATGCAATTATGTAGTACAGAATGCCTATTAAATATGTGTACACAGTTAAAAAATGAAGCCACCATGACTCACTCTGGTTAGAGGATAAATAACTGAACAAACAAAACATCTATAGTATAAACCAAGGACATACAGAGAGAACAGGATAATAATTCTGCTGAGCCTCGGCCAATTCGTGGAGCTGGAAGGAGGCAGAAGAAATGGAGATGCTGAGATGAAACCCCAGTTGCTGGAAAGGCAGAAGCCAGAAGAACATCCTTCAATACCAGCCCAGAGGAGTTCAACAAAATCCACTGAAATGCAGAAGAGCCCAGAGAAACTAAATAGTTCTCTCAGAAGCGTGGCTCGTATAGGAGCGATGGTTCTAACAACGTGCGGAGACCCAGTTGCCAAATACCAAATGTGGAATCTGAGGACTTTGGCTCCTATCCTTCAGTCAGAGTCTTTTAATGCTGCTTTTGGCTAGTGTGGAGGGGTTTAGAAGGGTTTCAAAGCAGCTTTTTACATATATATGTGTGTGTGTAAAGGCATATTTGAGTGTATACAAATATACATAATATTCTCTAGGTGTATTTTTAGTTGTGACTATTTCCCTGTTTCTAACCTTTCGAGGAAGAAGCCAGATCATTTGCACATGGGGGCTGTAACTGCAACCCTGATAGTGGAAAATCTGGGAGGAAAGAATTTAGATTATTAAACTCCAGGGGAAAAAATGCCTGGATGTATACTGCTTGAAAAGCTCATCAGTTCGTGGGGTGGCTTTTCTCTGCTCACCATCTTCCAGAGCAGCAAGGGGCTTTCAGACCTCCCTCTCAACACTTTCTCTCCCTTTTTCATTAAGACGGAGGTGCAACCCACGTGTTTTCTCCGAGTATGTGAATGGAAAAAATGACAACAGGCTACTGAAGCTCATCCTAACGTGCAACGGAGCTTCGCAGAGCAGCAGCCAGGCAGTGGCTGCCCTGCCCTGGAGCGTTCCTGGTGCAGGCAGGGCAAGCGGTGCCTGGCGTGACGGGGTCTGAGCATCCTCTGTCCCCAGGGCTGGGCATCCTGGGGGGAATCTGGGGGAAATAGGAGCTCCCCATGCAGCTGTGCTTGGGGCAAAGCGGCCTGGCAGGAGTTTTGGTAAGAGAGGGAGTTACTGTAAGGACAGAGACGGTTGTGGTGTTGGCCTGAAGCGGTGAGTTGGCTTAGAGCTGCTCCTCTGCCCCAAGTCACGCTTTGGTTCTTGTCATTTTGGGGGTATTTAAGGCGTGAGTCAGATGAGTCCAGGCGGATTTCTTGCTGTGGATAGATTTATTTGGGCAAAACAAGTGTGTTCAGACATGCAGAGTTTCCACAAATGTACATGGGACCTATGTCCCTCAAACATGGAAGCTCCCACCCCCCACGTGCGCTCTTATGCTGCACAGGGATGTTTGTGGCAAACACGAACTGGAATCACATTGAGTTTGGGCAAAAAAGCATTCGTAGAGTTGCAAGATCGTGGGGGGAAATGTTCCCTCCGTCTTTCATCTCCCCTCTCCCAATTGCTTTTCCTGATTGCTCCCTATCATCCCACGAGCAAGAGCTGTGTCACTCCCTACGGAAGGACAAGAGGACCTGTTCCTTCCTCCCTCACGTGCATGGGAGGACATGCCAACCACCACCCTCGGCTTCCCATTGCCACCAGACACCCCAATACAGAAGCAGGCGAGGAAAAAGGGCTTGGGGGGATGGGTTGTGCCTCCATGGGGCAGACAACAGCAGCCGTGATGCTCCAGGCAGCGAGCGCCAGGACTGCTGCCCCACGCCGGCTTGTGTCTGCGGGCTGAAAGTTTCCAGCTATGCAAAAAATGAA